TTTTATTAAAAGTATAGCTACTAATGGATTCTCAAGGACAATTGTTTTTGAGAAAATTAAATTATATATTCTCAGATATGCTGCACCATAAATACAAGCACAACTATACTAATTACTTATAGGGTTTTATAAGAGTAGAAAAAAAAAATTATAGTTATGACAAAAAAAAATTTACAATTCGCATTCTTCTCTTTTGATGAAAATATATTAACACACTTAAGTAACATTACAAAAATATTATTTCTAGAATAGGAAAAAAAAACACCTATATTAAGGTTAAAATTTAAGTAAAGGTTAAAATTTTTAAAGAAAAATTATTTTCATAATGTAAAATCGCTTGACATGATTTAAAGATGATCGCGAAATTATTTATTGTTTAAAATGAGAGTGACATCTACCAAAATGCAGATCTAAAATTAAGTTGACTTAATTATTCAGCAAAATTGTTTTGATTATAAACTGACATTAGTGAGTACTTAAATATTGTCAAAATCCAAAACGTCAATTTAAACAAGTACTTTTTTTATATCAAAATGGCAGTATACTTAAATTTGACATTTTAGAACTCGAATTTTCTTATTTTACATTAAGAAACTACTAAAAACAAATTTTAATTATGATATTTAATTAAGAGATTTCATGCTGGAATATAACTTTCCTTTACTGAATGATGTACCCTGACTGCAATTGTTCAGATATGTGCGTTATAATTATAACAATACTCCATCCAGCCTAGACATAACGTGGATTGTAAAATATGCATGGCATTTATTGACATGAAGTTCTCGAAATGAAGAATTTTTTTTATATTCACAGTCATTTTTAATTTCAATAATCTAATTAAAATTCTGTTTTAGGGTTATTTTTTTTTGTATATATAAGTTACTGCCACACCAGCTTTTTAAATGTAAAAATTTAGCTTTACCATCAGCTGTTACAAAGAAAAATTAAGCATGAATAAGTGAATGCAAAATTATCTACACATTTTATACGCCTAACAAATTACATTGACTTTTGCAACTCTGGACTTTGCAGATTTTGTGTATAATTTTGAGCTTTAGACTTTTTAGTATTACGGTAAGTATATTTGAATCACAATTGAAATCAAGGGTTAATCATGCAAAAAAATTCATTAGCAGAATCAAAAAATAATAAACACAAAAAGCAATTTAAAATTGAACAATTGTCCTATGCCCTTCCGTACATAAACAGATATGTAATCACCAAGTTTCTTCATATACTCTATATAACTTATACATTGTACACACACGTACATAATTATATTAACTACTTAATTAATCAAACTTTTTTTAAATAAAATTAAAAGAAAATCTCATATAACATTTAATTTATATCAAATTCAGATTTAAACTAATAATCTAAGTATGCCTGTAATTATTATTTACCGCACAAATATGTATATGTATATATATATACATATGTATGTAAGTAAATATAAAAAAACTGATTATAAGGTTAAACCTTAAATAATTTTAATTTTATTAATTGTTATCCAATTGTTTTTGTAATTGCATCAAATTTCAATAATATATATACGTATATTGTACATACATGTGTCTTTAAGCACCTACTGCAAAAAAAAAATTAAACCAAAATAAATTTATTAACTCGTGTACGAAATGCAAAAGATTTAAGAAATAAATTTTAGTATTTTTAATAAATCAGCAATTTAAAAAAAAAATTAGTTCAAAATCGAAAGTGAAATTAAATATTGTGGTTAAATTTAATAATCAATATTAATTATTAACCTCAAAATGCACCACTTTATTATAAGTACTAAAATATTATTACCTTCGTCATGTATGTGAGCACAAAATAGAAAAAAACTTATTAAAACACGACAAAAACAGATAAAAATTATATAACACATAAATTTGCATTGTTAGCAAGTGTGCAAAATTATTTTGCATTAAAGAACAAGAAAACAAAAGGGTCTGACTTTGAATTTTTCTTCTAAGAATTTCAGGCGTAAAAGAGTTTGTTATCAATAGTGAATTAGTTGGCATAAAGAACAAATCGAATATACTTAAGTATGTACATGTTACCAATTAGAAATAATATAAGTAAGTATATTTAAATTAATGTAGCAAGCTTGAAACTTTGCTTTAAACACAAAATTACATAATTTTTTGGATTTAAAAATTCAACATCTTCTCTGTAGCCGTTTTTCCACAGATTTTCATTACATATATTTACAAGAGGCAACAACATGTCTAGTTTTACACTTAATAACAAAACATAAAAATACACTTCTCAAAACCAGCTAAGTACTTATTTTCGGATAAAAAGTAAACAAACTTTATCTTTACAATTTGCATAACATTTAACAATACAATTTGCATAACATTTTTTGAAAATTTATATGCTGTCCTTACAAGTTTATTCAGCTAAATGAGAACACATGGCCATCAATTCAAAACTACATTATATTAAAGCATTTCATATGTCCCTGTTATAAGTAATGTACGTAATGAAATTAATGATAACAATGAAGTATGTAGCTACATATACAGTTACATCACACACTCTTCGGGATTCAAGGGGTCTCTTAAAGCAGGATGATAGAATATGTTTAAACATTAAGGAATATTTTCTTTCCTCAAAGTTGATCTTTCTGAAAAACGTCAAATTCAATATTTTAACAGGCAATATAATACTTGCCCCATATATTTAACCAAAATGAGGGTCGGCTTAATAACAATTATTTATGAGTAAATAACAGTAATATTTGTAATTTTCTAAAAACTCACAATTTGTTTCATGACTTGTAGAAAGTGATTTTCTTGAGCTGTAAAATGGATTCCTTCACTAGATTGGTTTTCCCCTGCCATATTTCTCAAATTACAATCAAAAATGTAAGAGTTGCTTGTCATTGTTTCTGCTCCTCTGGACCTATTCTATCACCCTGCTCCAGCAGTACATCGAATTTCAGAAATTCTGTATGACTAAGTACTCGTATGTATGTACATAGATATGTACATAAAAATTCTTTTATTTACAAAATCTCATTGCAAATGAAAAAAAAAAACATTAAAATAAAGAAAACTTTTATTTACAATTAATTTAATTTACTCTAGTCTGAGTGAGTGAATTTCCTTTTAAATAATGAAGCAAAAGCAATTTTGGCAAAATGAACCAAAAACAAAAAAAAACGATAACGCACTCATGTTGCATTTTTTTTTCAGTTTCCCGAAAAATTATGTAAAAATGTATTATTATATTTTAGCAAAATCTCTTTTTAGAAATTTAATTACTGCTCCCATAAACAGTTTTCTTTTGTTTAGAATGGAATTTTATTTTTCAACTTTTTCTTTTTAATTGAAAATTTAAAATTTGCGAAAAAATAAATGTTTTTTCTAGTGTATTCAGTAAACACATTTAAGTAAATCTATGTGTGTATGTACTAAACTTAAGTATGTAGGTACTTACTCATTTACATATTTTCTGCCATGGCAACAAAATTTCTTATTAAAATTTATTATACTTTAAAAATGAATAGTAAAAAAGTAAAAATTATAAAGAAACACAAGAAAAAATAAAAATAAAACCAAAATACACCAAAAGTAATAAAATCAGTAGGTTAATGGGAAAGAAATTTACAACAAAAAATAAAAACAAAAAAAAATCAAAATGTTCATCCTATTTTTTCCCATATTTCTGGAGTAAAAACTGACCATCTATTTGAACGTGATACTCATTTATTTTTTACATTTAATTTTTGCATATTCAAATACTCCTTAGCTTCATATTTAATTCTGGATTTTTTGAAGGGGCAATATTTGAATAATGTATGAACGTATTTAGGTAAGATAAGTACTTACTTACTAAAAACAAGTTGGGTTAAATTCAATTAAAAATTAAAAGAAATACTTACTTAGTTAAGAAGTGGAAAAATAAAAAATTCAGGCAATTGGAATAGAGCTAAAAGTTTGGAATATTTTGACCGGCAAAAGAATGCCGTTTATTGTTCAAATTGCGTTCATTCAATCTAATAAAAAAATATTTGAATTTTTTAAATTAGGTTTTAATATGAAATGAAATAGCTATTTAAAATCAGGCAATTAAAACTATGAACGAAGCCATAATTGATTTTTTGAAAATGATTTGTAATAATAAATTTTAGAATGGCTTAAATTTGGTTTCGGTAAAGCTAGCTTTTCAAATAGCTGCAGTAAAACTGCAAAAATTTTTTAGTCATATCCTACAAAGATTAATTTTACTATTAATTAATTAATTACCTTCCCGAATAATTTTTAGGCTATCAAGTCTTTATTTTTTTAAGCTCTCCTAATTGTGAAGTAAAGTTTCTCATAAATAAGTAGATACTAAGCATATTGCAGTTCTTTAAACCATGTTTAGCAATTATTAAAAAAAATTATGTATTTATTTCAATCCTTTTATTGTTTCTTAACGTAAATGCATAATCAACCTTTAAACTAGCCTTTTAACGCCAAGTAAAATAATCATAGCAAATTTAATATAAGTAAATACTCGTATATAGGCATGTAACAACACTATTCCAATTATCAATACCAATAGAAAAACTCCAAAAATTTACTATTCTCAATTTATTTCCTATTTTACTTTGGCCATGGCTAACTAAACTAAATACAATACAATAGAAACAACTTTGTACATACATACTTCATTATTAGTGATTTCAATTCCTATAGAAAATATTATTAACCTAACATTAAGGTCTAATTCAATTTGCTGAGGTCCTGTAAAATATACCCATCAAATATGGTAAATAGGATTTATTGCTATAATTTTTGCATTGTCCAGTCAAAAAAGCAATAATTTCAAGAAATGCACTTAATATAAAAAAGTAAACTATTTCAGTAGCTATTTGCGGGAAAATGTAATTGCTTCACTTCATTGTCATTTAAATATCAAAAATTATATACATATGTACATATAAAGCTATGTATGTATGAACAAATTTACATACAGATGTGTTTTTTGAGTTAAAGCCTTACCTGATTATTTGATTAGTTCCTTAATATCCAAAATTAAGTAGAATTCATAGAGTGGTAATGTTCGTATATTTATATTAGTAAGAGTGTAATAAAAATTCAATCGAGTAGATAATCCGCTTTTTTTAAAATTCAATTATTCAGCATATTAAAATTTACTTAGGCATTTGCATTATTATAAAAAATTTCTTTCATATTTTGCAAAAATTTATCATAGATTATTTTATTTATGTATAAAAATGGAAAAATCATAAATTTTTACAAATTTTAAATAATAATTCCACTAGTTATATACAAATTTATGAATCAATAACTACTGATGGTTATAAAAATATAAAATATTAAAATTAAATTTTTTATTTTCACAATTTATTGCACCTTAAATTTTAACCACTAAATAATATTTCGGAAATTGCAACTTTCAAAATGAATTCAGCAAAAAAAATTTTTGTGAACATTTTTTTTCTTATTAAATTTTGACAAAAAATAATGTTTTCAATATCTAGATTTATCAATTTTAATAAGAAATTTATGAAATATTTTTATTTTAATATACAAATATTTTAATCCAAGAATATTTCAATTTTATTCACTATACATTTGGTAAAATATCATCACTGTTTAAAGAATTACGATTTGCGAACGTAAAACTCACAAACGCCTAGCACTAGGACAACTAAAACCAAACTACATTTACAATTAAATTACATTCAGCTTCATCTCTCTAAATTTTGTTTTCATATTTTGGCTTTTCGCATTCGCAACTTCCCAGTTCCCAATCCAATACTATTCCCATTTCCCACCTATTTCTAACGTAAAAAAGCTTTGTATTTTCAATTGCTGAATTGTGCGAAAAAGCTTAATTTTGCAATTTTTTTTTTTTCAACACTATTTTTTTTGGTACAAAACGTCAATAAATGTCAAAACATCATTTGCAAAAGATTTTTGAAAAATGAAACACATGATTTTTCTATTATGACAATCGTATATTCATCTCGTTCAATAGATTGCGTTGCGTTCGATAGTTATTTAAAAGTAATTTAAAAGCATATGTCATAAATCTTCATTATGACGCTTGCTTTATATATCAAAAATATAGTGCGAAATTTGTTTTTAATTTTGTTGTACATGTGTAAGATATTTTACATTTAGAAACTAAAATGGTTGACAGAAATGTATTATCACCTTACTTGCAACTAAATTTTTTCTAATTCAAAAAAGTGGATGAAATACCATTTTTTTTTTAAAAAACCAAAAAGTCATTTAGCGATTTCAGTTATCCACTTCACTTTGAGAGGTTGTCAATTTGTTTCCTTTTTCTTTAAAAAAGTATATATTTTAAATTTGATATTACGAGTATCATGTATGTTATTATAAAATTTTAGCATCATTTTCTCGTTGCGAATAAAATTAAAGCAAGTGTAAGAATTCATATTATCTTTTGCTTCATATTGCACTGTGAAAAACAATATATATATATAGCGAAACATAATCAAAGCGCAAAGAAGTACCTCAAAATTTAGCGGTTTCAAATTGAAACAAGAACAAGGTCTATTGTCGATTCACACGTTTTCACAAACAGTTGATTCAAAATTGAAAACTTAAATTTTACTTAAATTAATTTGTTGCCGCTGCGAAATTCTTAGGTGTATATTTGTAGATAAATCTAGAAAATTTTCGTGCCAGTTAAGCGATAATAAACTTTCTTGAAAAATTTTCTTGAATCTTGAACTATGTATTGAATCTTTTCTAACATTAATTTGCCTGCGTAAACACTCGTCAAATTTTAATTTTTGTGTAGAACAAAATGTAACTAAAATTCAACGTATTAGTGTTTCACATAACCGGTAGTTGCGCTTCAACAAACTTTTGACATTGTCAAAATTTAATATTTAATGAAAATCAAAGATATTGTTTTTTTTCAATACCTTTCATAAACAACAAATAATTTGTATTAAATTAAATTATTAATAATGAATAATATAGCTGTTAAATACTAAAAACTTTAGCAAAAACTGTTGTATTAATTTTGAGAAAATTTAAGACCTTTTATGTGAACTAGAATTCATAAGAGGATTCAATAAATGAAATTTTTTTATATTTCCCAGGATTATTTTACTACAAATAGAAAACGTGATAGAATTGTTGCTTAATGAATATGGCTTCAATTAAGTTCTGAAGAAAGTCGTACATTTTCGGAAGAAATTAGTGATTACGCTTGTATAAAGTATTAGTTAACAACAAAGAATTTAAAAACATTTTCTCGTTAGTATTAATCTTTTTACTTGGCAATATTAAAAACAGAGGAATTTTAACCAGTTTAGATAGTTTGTAAACAATTTTATATACATATGTAAATATCTAGGTGGAATTTTCTGTGGAAAATTGTTAATACACAGAATGTTTCTTTTCATAAAATACAAAAATATGACTAAATAAAATCAGTTTAAGTAGTGATTACTGATAATTAGTTAAAATATTAAGATTTAACATAATGTTTCGATAGAAATTTTTATTGCTAGTTGTTAATATACATAATTGTTTTTCTGAAATGCCTTGCTGTAATTTTTACACCTTTAGTGTTTTTTGGTAATCAATTTTCTTGAAGTTTCCATAAATTGCTTAATACATATAATAGCTTATTGTTGGTTGCTGTTTTAGGATCGGTCCTTTGTCTTGAAATAATTTGTTTCGTTATTGTATTGCTATTTATGTTTTTGTACCAAAAGTATGTTTGTCCATCATTTTTTTTTTTGGCTTTTTTTCTTTATTCATTGCATCACTTTCACGTCAAATACTACTACTACAATCAGGATCGTTTTTTTTTTGAGAAAATTTTTCGTATATCATTTTTAATGATCTTCTATTTAAAGCATAACAATCCAATGCTCTTACTGATTAAAGTGCAACAATTCGTCGAATATACTTCTGGAAATTTGACTAGATTATTTGACGACGCGACATTTTCTAAAATATTGTGACCACTATCAAAATTGAAAGTATAACATAAAATTTCGTAACAAAACGTAAACCCTCAGATATTCCAAAAAATGATTTAATGTTTGATCATATTTGATGCTTTCTTTTTATTGACATTTAGTATTCTAAGGAATTATTTTATTAAAAATCATCAAAAGTTTCTTTCCATTGCCTCCTAAAATTTGTTAAATTCAATTGATTAATTATGTTAAGGTAAGGTAAGTTTAATTTTTGTTACATATGTACCTACTCCATTTTAAGATTTAAGAATCAAAAAATAAATCGCTTAAGACTTATTATGTCAATGCTTTTTATATTTTCCTAGTCATCCATATCACGACTTATTTCATTTTTTACTACATTTCTAAAAAGTAAAAAAATATAATCGAAATACAGGATCTCATTACGCGTATTTTGAATTATATTTTGTTCTTTACTTCTTAAACGCATATTTGGGTCGTATACTGAACGATTCTTAAAGCTCGACATCCTTTTTGTACTCTCGTTCCAAAGTTCAAAATTTAAATCAATCTGGTTCAACAGTGAAATTCCCTAAATTATGCATTCTTTTCTTCATTCTTCCCACATTCTACATTTATTTATTAAATTATAACATTCATCCAAACTGAAAAATTCTTTGATTTGACCATTTCAAACTCCCATAATTATCTGAATTTTCATAAGGTAATAAATCAGTTCCACATTTTCATTTTGCTTAATAATTTATCCTGATTCGTAGAATATATTACTCAGCTTTTTATTTAAGACTTTCCACGCGTTTGATATCAATCCAGACTTTTTTATTATTTATTTTATCTGTAATTATTATTTTAACTTGCAACATTATTTTAGTTTATAAAACTATTATATTTAGTTGGCTGAAATGAGTTGAAAACTTTGTAACATAAATAATAATATTGTTTATTTTCAAATTGTCAAATTTGACAAACTTTAATTCTGTCAATGACAATTAACTGATGGAAAGTCCACAAAAAGTATCGATTAAAACAATTATCGAGTTATTTTTTTATTCAAATATTTTTGATTCTATATGGAATAAATTGAATCAATACCGTACGGAAAATGTCTGTAAGTCGTGTATATAAAGGCGTTTGATTGCATTTGATTGCATTTGATTTTACTGCCGTTAGGGAAAAACGTTTTTCTATATGGAGGAGTAGGGAAAAGTTGAATTAAAATTTAACATTCAAAAAAATATTATTCTCAAAATTTTGTATAGCACAATTTGAAAACTTGCATTTTTGTTTATATTTGTAAACAATTTATAACGTAAGGTACTCTCAAAATTGATTAACTTTGCTTTTACCGTACTGTAAATTTCTAAAATGATTTACGATAAAATTTTTTTACGATAAACTTTTTTTTAAAATAGCTATATGTATAAAATGTTGAATAGAACAAACTGTATTTATATTGTAATTAAACTTTTTAGAAAGTATTCTTTTGAAGACACATATGTACGTACACTATATTATATGTAGCTTTGTGTGTAGGTGCAATGACTTTGTTTAAAAGTATGGTATTCCATTTGCATTCAATACTTCATAGTTTGCTGCTCTTCATTTTTTTAAATATTTTTGTCTTGTAATTCAACTGCCTTAAGTTTGCTTTTATGGAAAGACAGCTTTGAAAATTAGACAAAACAAATAAAAATATTTAATTAATTTTGAATAAACATAAAAATATCAGCGAAATTAATGAATTTTATCAAAAAATTTGACATCGTGCTCTGCCAAAATTTATTTGTACATCATATACATAATGTAGATACATACTATATATATGTACATAATATACCTACCTATTAATCTCTTACAAAATTAGTTTAGCTGTTTTTAATAATAGACGTAGGAATACACAATACACAAGCATACATATGGAGCAGGTATTTTGAATTTATATTTTTATTTGCAATGTTAAAATTAAATTTAAAAAATTTAGATAAAAGAATAAAATATAAGAAATTTATATTATAAATGTATGTTGAAAAATTAATGCATGAGTGTATGTTTGATATAATATACATGTTATGTTTTGTACTATATTATAAGTACAGCAACAACTCCATTATGTTAAATTTTACTGTAAGACTTTTGGCATAAAAATTTTTTTCCGAAAATTTTTGTATTCTGAAAGTAATAGCGCAAAAGAGAAATCATGAAGACCCTTCCAGGTTTAATACCTAATATTGCAATGTGAATTGGTTCTTATTCCATTTTCGTTAACAAGGT